AAACAGAAGTGTTCTGGCTAAGGACACTTCAGAGAATGGCTTTGCATCCTTTCCCATCCTAGCTAATAGCCATGGATGGACCTATCTTCCATTAACTTATCTCACTCTTTTAAAAAAAATCTGCTATAGTTTTGGCCTTCATAACATAGTCTGGCAAGCAGTTACACAAGTTTACTGTGCATTCTAAGAAGAAATAATCTTTTTTCTTGTTTTAAAACAGCAATTAAATAGATACCAAAGCCGAACCCTGAAGTAATTAATGAGCTAATTCAGTTTAAACTAAATGGAAAGATAAGCAAGAACAGCTCTGCAATTAGGGTGCATCTGATGAAGCAAGCCTGCCCATGAAAGCTTATATCCAAATAAATCTGTTAGGGTACATCTATACTTGCTCCCTATCTCGAGATAGGGATGCAAATGTGGTGTACCGGAATTGCTAATGAAGTGCGGGATTTAAATATCCTGCACTTAATTAGCATAATCGCGTCCAGGCTCCATTTTGAAATCGTGTCATTGCAAAATAAAACGCCTCAAGAAAACCCTTTTCTCGAAATAACTGTTACTCCTCATAAAATGGAATAACAGTTTATGGGGAGTTACAGTTATTTTGAGAGAAGGGTTTTCTCTCATCACCCAGACACGATTATGCTAATTAAGCGCAGAATATTTAAATCCCGCACTTCATTAGCAATTCCGGTACACCACATTTGCATCCCTATCTCTAGATAGGGAGCAGGTGTAGACATATCCTTAGTCTTTAAGGTGCCACAGGGCTACTTGTTGTTTTTGTAGATACAGACTAACATGGATACTTGTTATAATGAAAGGAGCTTGGGGTAGAGATGAACATAACTGAGGAATTAGAAGTAGAAATTACCACTTCAGATGTGGAAGTCAAACTCTAACAGCTTAATGGGACCGAATTGGGGAGATAGAGGAAAATAATCTCCAGCCAAGATTATCAAAGAAACTGAGACATGAAATTACAAGACCGACAGCAAGGATTTTCAATGTATCCATAAACTTGGGCTTGTACCTATGACCGAATAATTGTTATTACAGTACCTATTTTTATGAGGGGGGAGGGGCGGGAAGTGATCTGTAAACTACAGACCCGTTAGTTTGATTTCAGTTGGATGCAAAATCTTAGAATAATTTTTGAAACAGAAAGTAAGTTAGTAAAATGGAAAGTGGGATAATATACAACATAGTTCTACAAAAGTTAGATCTCACCAAACCAAGCTCACCACTTTCTTTGAGAAGATAATTAATGTTTTTAGACAGAGGAAATGCAGTAGATGTAATCTACCTGGATTCTGTTAAAGCATTTCATACCATTGCACATGGTAAATTATTAGTTAAATTGGACAAAATGTGGATTAGCACAAGAATTGAAAGGTGGGTCAAGGCCAAGGGACCAGTTAAAGGGGAGTCAATGAGGAGTCATAATGAAAGGTAAACTGTCAGGCTAGAGAGTGGTTATTAGTGGAGTTCCTCAGGGTTCAGCCTTGGGATCAATCTTATTTAACATTTTCATTAATGATCTTAGCACAAGTGGGAAAGTGGTAATAAAATTTCCAGATGAAACTAAGTAAGGGGTATTGCTGATATGGAGGAGAACTGGAATGTCATACAAGAAGATTTGGATGACCTTCAAAACTGGAGTAATATAAATGAGATGAAAAATAAAAGTGCAAAGTCTCACACACAGAGGGAAAAATGACAACAGGTTATTGATTATTTTAATTTATTTTTTTAAAATCCTTTAAACTTAAAAAAAAAGTGATTTAAATTTTAAAAAATCCATTTTTTTAAAATAATCTATTTTTATCCACCATGGCGGGAATACAGAAAAGCAGGGTTTTGCTTAACCTGTCCCATGGAAGGGGATCACTCTCAGTTGAAATAAACTCAGTAAGACAAGGGCTGGAATGGCAGAGCACTGCAGAAGAAAGGGGTGGGGACAAGTCTAGCTAAGAGCCTGCCTGCACACCCTCAACAAGAGGCCTCTGTAAGAGTTGTTCAGCCTGTTTCTCCCCATTGTTCAAAGACTAGAACTAAATAGACTTCATCAGGAGCCTGTTTTGTTATTTTAAATTGCTCAATCAGAACTGAAACTACTTGTGATAAAACTGTTTCTACCCTGCCTGGAAATCACTGAGAGCTGCAACCACTTGTGGTGAGACTGTGTTTCTGCCCAGAGCTGGTGACCCGGTGACTGATGGGCAAAGGTGACAGAAGACAGGCCAGTGGTACCAGAAGGTGACTGACAGTCACCTGGTTATTGAGTGGCTGGAGAGATGTTACATGTGGCTAACAGGATGGCAAGAGAGAAGTGTGAGCAGCCAGCAGAACGGCTGGTTGGGAAGCTTGGTGTGGAGGTGGCTGGCAGCATGGTGGTGAAGAGGCTCAGTGAGAGCAGTGAGCAGGCAGCTAGCAGGCGTGACCAGTGAGTGACCAGCAAGGTGACTAGCAGCGAGGAGCAGTGAGCAGGTGCCCTGTGACAAGCCCCCCCCCCCCCTCCCGGATGGCAAGTGAGCTCTGTGGCTGCACCTCTGAACTCTGGGTCTGCACTGACGGAGGACAGCAACTGCGAGTGGGATGCAGAGAAGAGTTGGACATGTGAAGGGGACTTTTGAGTTACTGGACTTAAGAATCTGAGAGGAAAAGGACATTGTGCAGCCTATTGAGGTGGGACTGTTACTCATGGTTTTGTTTATGAACCCTGTCTGTGGTGTTTTCCCAAATTAATGCCAAGTTACTTCCCTCCCTTTTATTACAAGTTTCTTTTCTACACTCAGACTCTGCTTGGGAGTAGGGAAGCATTGCCTCTCAAAGGCACCCAGGCTGGTGTGTGAATTTCCCAGGTTCCTGGGTGGGGACTCAAGCCAGTTCTGTGTTGGCTGGATGGAGAGGAACCCCTAGATATTGAATCCAACCATGGATGCTGCTGGCTTCATCTGGCTTACAGTTTTGTTTAAAGGATTCCTTGTTTATTCTCATATTGTTAGCTATTTAGGCCAGTGTTTCTCTTAGCCTTTTTAAGGTGTGATCCAAAGTCCATTGAAATCAACAGAAGGACTTTCAATAGGCTCTAGATTAATGCCTTACCAGCAAAAGTTTGTGTTCCAATGTATTAACCTTCAGTGGGCATTTGTTCCAATTTGATAAAGCATGCTTTTCCAGACGACGTGTAATACTGCTTGTTTCTCACTTTTTCAGCTTCCTTTTTTCCCCCAGGTACAGTACTCGTATATCTGTGACATATCTTACAAGATGTATTATATCCAGTTCCCTAGGTGAGTCTGTGGCTCTTCATTTCCACATGTTGAGGGTTCATCAGATGTGAGACTCAGGTATTTGGAATAGAGAGACCCCCCTCTGGACGGGGTTACATTGCAGTGACTTTGGTTTAATCCAAACTGGCACCAACTAGGGAAAGCCCTCAGTTACACTCAGTCCACTTCCAAGCAGTAAACTCAGAGGCAAAATGCAGGACAATGTAGCACTTTAAAGACTAACAAGATGGTTTATTAGATGATGAGCTTTCGTGGGCCAGACCCACTTCCTCAGATCAAATAGTGGAAGAAAATAGTCACAACCATATATACCAAAGGATACATTTTTTTAAATTGTATCCTTTGGTATATATGGTTGTGACTATTTTCTTCCACTATTTGATCTGAGGAAGTGGGTCTGGCCCACGAAAGCTCATCATCTAATAAACCATCTTGTTAGTCTTTAAAGTGCTACATTGTCCTGCATTTTGCTTCAGCTACCCCAGACTAACACGGCTACATTTCTATCACTAAACTCAGAGGGTGTGTGTACACAGCAAAATTATTCTGGAATAATGGCTGTTATTCCGAAATAACTATGCGAGCGTCTACACAGCAATTCTGTTATTTCAAAATAATTTTGAAGTAACAGATGGCTTATTCTGACTTCTGTAAACCTTATTCTACGAAGAATAACGCTTATTCTGAAATCATTATTTCGGAATAGGGGCTGTGTAGATGCTCCACTTCTGCTATTTTGAAATAGCCCCTCATCAGGTCCATTCTAAGTTATTCCTCCTGGGGCTCTAAATCAAGATAGCACGTCTACATTGGGGAAGCCTGTCTCGGACTCATTTTGAAGCATCCCTGCAGTGTAGACGCGCTATTTTGAAATAAGCTATTAACAACTGCCTTCTCCTTTTACAGGTGTTGAGCCTAAACGGGTTGAGTTACACAGAATTAGCTCACAGCCTCCTGAGCTGCGGTGGCAGAGCCTCCTCCCAGGCATGTCTCAGACTGTAGGGCTAATGGGGCTTCTCCAAGAGGTGAGAAAAGCCTTTGAACACCCAGTCATAGAGCAAGTATTCCTTCCAGTTGGTTCTCATGTCCCATAGCGATATTTCAGCCAATTTATACTTGTGGAGCAGAAGTCACAGACCATTAAAGCTGATTTCTCCTAGAGCCCGTTTGTGAGTATGTACCACACTCTAACTATGTCCTAGACCTGACCAGGCATTAAATCATGGAAGTTGAAGGTGGACAGGGCTCCAGTCAGTCATCTTGCCCAGCTTCCAAAATAAAGATGTACATAGTAAATCTTTACAATGCTGGTGTTGGAACTGGGTCCTACTCATGCCCAGGGTGAAACTGAAACATAAGCACTAGGGGCTCTTGCCTTGAGTGTGAGTTTCTGGAGTCATGGGACTGTATCAGAACCTCTGCTTTTGTAACTAAGTATCCAGTTCTCATGGCTATGAAGAAAGCTTGAAAATGGGAACCAAGCATAGCCAAGTACAGTGGCGTCTGCTTGAATTGCAGAGAACCTGCAAAACAATAGCCTGGCATACACCCAAAGAGAAATTGTATAATCTGCACCAGCCACCATCTGGTCGTTTTTCAGCATCAGAGCAGAGTGAGCTTTCTTTGGCAGGAAGAGCAACACCTTCATTAATCCTCTCAAGCACTTCTTTAAAAAAATAATAATAAAGAGGCAAAAATGTGTAAAATAAAGGGAATTGGATTGTATTTTATATCCCTAAAGCTAGAAACATTTGTATCAAAATATTTACAATGACTGTAGAAATAAACACTTACTCTGTCAAAGAAACAGCCGCGTACAGTACTAAAATATGTCCACCGAATTAACAAAGTCTATATGGAAAGAGAATGTAACAGAGAAAGCGTGAAAGAAAATACTGTTCCAACTAACCCTGCACCCATGAATTTCTTGTTGCCACCGAGCTCTAATTTGTGGACATAACCACAGTGAGTCCTGAGGCCTTGCCACTAGCAATCTCCATTTACTATTTAAGCTTTCCAAAGGGACAGAAATGTTTGGATTGGATACCCTGATGCAGACAGTAACTCTATTCCTGCAATTATGACACAACAATGCTATTTTTTTCCCAAACAGCCTTTTGTGTGAGGATTTCCTTGTATAGGCATTAATTAATGAAGCCTCTCAACACCCCCGGGAGGTAGGAATAACTAACATCATTTTACAGATGGAAGAACATAGTCACAAACAGGTAAAGTGACAGAGCTGGGAACAGAATGCTGGATTCCTGATTCTCAATTTCCCCACTTCCCTCTCCTCCCCTTCTAACTATTAGGCCTTATTTCTTCTGCCATTAAATGGCTCTTACTTTGAAGTGACTGACATTGACACAGTGGGGTTTGATTAATGACCCATACAATGAGGAGGAAAAATCTATTACCTACAGATAGTTATAAAAACCCAATTCAGTGTTGAACAGTGAGATCCCACAAGCCTAAACAGGCTGCCCCAGGGATCAGCTTGGAAAGCCCCTTCAGTCCCGTGGCTTATAGAGCACATGCATCACAAATCTGGCTGTTCATGGCTTCATAGGGACTCCCTGAGTTCTTCATCATGCTGCTGTGTTAAGAGATACACAGCCAACTATAGTGGAGAGACACCCCCCACCCCACCAGATTACTCCCTGGGGTGGATACCGCTGAGTTATAACTGCATCCTCTGTTACTATAATCCTTGCCTGTCTCCTTCCTTCCCTCTCTCCTCCCATCCCTCCACCTCTTCCCCAATTTATTCATGGGAATTAGTTTCTTTCTTAAGTAGGAAACAGGATGGCAATAAATTTGCAATGATAATATTTGTTAAAATTTGAAGTTTAGTCTAGTTGGGCTGTTTCCAGATATAATGTCTTTAACCTTTATAAAAATGTAACAAAAAGGGCCTATCCCATTGTTCTCTTAGGCAAAATGTCTTATCCCACACTGCCCCACCCACAACACATGCTATGGAGAAATAGGGAGGAAGGGGGAGGAAGGAAGATGCAGCTCTCATTTCCTTGATGTGCTGCCAAGTTGGTGATGCGGAGTCTGGTGGTTCCTTAAGGCACAGCCCAACTTTGCGAGGAAGGAGAGCAGCATCTGGTGACAAGGCCATTTGACTGTAACTTTAAGGCTCAGGATCAAGGAGGTGCTGGCTAGACAGGAGCTGTTTCTTGCTCTTTGGTGGATTCATTTGTGGTGGGCTTTTTTTGGTGTTATTGGCCAAACAGTTCTTCCAGCTGATTGATTCCTCATCTTCCCCATCCCCAATTTCTAACCCTCCCCCAACTCCTTGAACTCCTCTCAGCCTTATTTCTTTCTCAGGACAAGGTAAAGGATGCCAATGATGAAGCTGAAGCAAAAGCAGATCCAGGCCAGTATGAAGGAGTAGCCATGGTGGTAGGCAGGCTGCGTGAAGTGCGGTGGGAATCGGGCGGTGTAGATGGAGACAGCAATCAAAATGGACAACCCTGTAGGAGAAGAGGAGGGAAGAAAGAATTGGAAGATATTTGAAAACCTGAATCATTTCAGGACATTGCAGATACTGCAGTGAGTGATATTGTGGCATATGCCTGATGAAGCTGCCCTCCTTATGTTTATTACTGTGGGATTTGTGGGAGCCCACGGTTGTGCATTGTGGTAGGACTGCTCGTTAGCACTGTATGCTAGTTTTTTGGCATAGGGTTTCTTAAGAGCACAGGCACTGTGCATCCTGGTTTGGTACTGGACGGTTTCTGTGGAGTATAAGCTGGAGATATGCTAAGGTTACTGTAGTTATTCAGATTCCAGAGTTGTGGGAAATGGTATAAAAATGCAGCTTCTGGTGTACAGGGGTGCTGTCAGACTTGCCGGTCTCTGGGCAAAATGTAGGAACCTGGTTCTGTGCTCCTGGAAGGGGTGAGGCCTCAGTGGAAGGGGTGGGGCTGGAAAGCAGCCAGCATTTAAGGTCACCTGGAGCTCAATGTGGTCCCTCCTCCCCAGCCATTAGAGCTGCCTGGACCACTCCACACAGCGCTCAAGCAGCAATTCAAAGGGCCTGGGGCTGGAGCTGCTGCTGCTCCTGCAGTAGCAGCGGCAGTGGCTGGGAACCCTGGGCCTTTTTAATCTCTGGTCCCTGGGACAACTGTTCCTTTTGCCCCCCCTGTTGGTAGGCCTGCTGGACTATTACTGTTGGCTCCCTCAGGAGTACTCAAGCTGCACCTACTAGTGCAGGGGTTTTCAAACTCTGGGTCGTGGCTGAGTCATGGCTTGCAAGCCACTAACTGGCTGCAAGGCGCTTTGTTTATCTGCACCTCCACAGGTACAGGCAATCGCAGCTCCCATTGGCCACAGATCACCGTTCCTGGCCAATAGGAGCTGCGGGAAGCAGTGCAGAGCAATAAACCAAACTGTAATCTGAAATGGAGAGTTAAATTGCCTCTGGGTGCATCTAAACTTTATGTAAATGTCTGATGCCCTCGGCCTCCAAAAGTATTAGGGATGAGCGGGAGCAGGATAAGAGGACTTCCCCTTTCACCACCTGAGGGTATTGGCAGTTTGAAAACATTATCACCGATCCCTGTTCTTTCTTGGAAAGACCCTGTTGTGCTCCAGACAATGGGTTGTGAATAACCAAGGCAGTGACTATTTTTCTGAAACAACCTTTTGAATTTTACTCAACTGTGGAGCAAGATACTCTGGAAGTGTATGGTTTATGCAGTGGAGACCATTCTGCCCCAGAGCGGAGTCAGTGATAAAACCTTCAGAGATTTTGATAGGGCCCACTGAATCCAGAAGGAGGTTTACTAAAGCAGTTTGCAGACAATGGACACGGCCATCCCAGACAGTGTATACTACCATTGATTCCAGTAGCATTCTACTGGTACAGTAGTAGGGTTGATTGCTTTAATATATATATATATAGGCTGTGTCTAGATTGGCCAGTTTTTCTGGAAAATCAGCCGCTTTTCTGGAAAAACTTGCCAGCTGTCTATACAAGGCCGCTTGAATTTCCGCAAAAGCACTGACTTCCTACTGTAAGAAATCAGTGCTTTTTGCGGAAATATTATGCTGCTCCCATTCGGGCAAAAGTCCCTTTTGCACAAAACTTTTGCACAAAAGGGCCAGTGTAGACAGCTGAGATTTGTTTCCGCAAAAAAGCCCCGATCGCAAAAATGGTGATCGGGGCTTTTTTTGCGGAAAAGCGCGTCTAGATTGGCCATGGACGCTTTTCCCCAAAAAGTGCTTTTGCGGAAAAGCGTCCGTGCCAATCTAGACACTCTGTTCCGAAAATGGTTTTAACAGAAAACTTTTCCGTTAAAAGCATGTCCGGAAAATCATGCCAGTCTAGACGTAGCCCTGGTGTGCGTGTGTGTGTGTGTGTGCATGCACACGCATGTGCACATGCACAATGACTAGTTTGAAAATGGTAAATATTTGCAAAAGAAATGTAATCATTTTGATTTTTTCAGTTTTTTGAAAACTGAATTTTTTATGCTAAAAGTGTTTCAATTTTCAGTTTTTCAGTATAAAACTAGAAAACTTCAAATGAAAACATTCAACAAAAAATTCCTTTTAGGAAAGAGCTATTTTTTTGTTGGAAAAGTTTTGAGGGACACTTTTTTTCAGCCAGCTGCATAAGAATGGGCCAACTTTGGGGAGTTATGAGAGTTGTTGCCTCTCCCCCAAAATAACAGTATATGTTGAGGGTATGTCTACACTACAGTTTTTTCAGAAAAACGGTCATTTTTCTGAAAAATCTTCACTTACATCCACATTGCAATTGCGTTCTTTTGACAAAAAATCGAAAGTACAGAGGGGTTTTTCCGACATTGGTAAACCCCTTTCTATGAGGAAGAAGCCTTTTTCCGAGAGCTCTTTCAGAAAAAGGTGTGTGTGGATGGGGAAGAAGGAGTTCTTTCACAAGAAGAGGGAAGAGGAAAAAGCACAGGTCTCCTGGTGGCCTCTCCGTTCGTAGTAATTACAGCTTAAATGCGAGATAGCACCCATTCAGTGTGGATACACTATTTCAGAAAAAGTTTTTTTGGAAGATCTCTTCTGGAAAAGCTTCTTCCGAAAGAAGCCTGCAGTCTAGACATAGCCTGATAATAGGGAGGCACAGTTTAAAGGTTTGGATGCCCTCAAATAGCTTGAATCATGGCTACCGTAGGCAGGTCTCCCCCTTATATTCAGATTCCTTTCCCAGAAAGCCACACCCTTTCCCTGTGGTGCCCAGCCGTTGTTCCTGCCTCTCTCCACTGCATGCAATCCCCAGATCACCTGGCTTTCAAGGTCACTTGACTACTGGCTCCAGCAGCTGCCGTGTGGGAGATGGGGAGGGAAAGGGGTGTGTGTTACCTATGCACCCACATGAATGTTTAAGCCTTTTAGTAACACGACACACAGAGATTGGACTTACAGCAAATCAGCATGACGGCTCCGGTGATGTAGAAGCGTTTTCCTTTCTCCATGGTAAAGAGCTGCACCACAAACATGACCAATGAGATGAATGAGAAGATGATTGACAGGATCATGAAGGCTTGCACTGCCTTGAGGTAAGCTGGAAACAAGAGTGTGTATGTGAAAACACTATCAATAACCGTACCACAATGTATTATAGGGCTTCAAACTACACGTCATATCACGACCTAAAGAAAATATCTCTTACACATATCCCCTTCATTGAATGATACTGGAGAGCAGCGACTTTCAGTGCAGCTTAGCCAGAGTCCTGTTGAGTTCTTGGCATTTGCCAACCAGACCTGAAATGGAACAAAACAGTCATGTCAATCTTTTACTCTTGACAATTCTGAGAATGATTGTTCCAGCCTATCAGCTGATCTGGCCTAAGAAGAACAATGACTGCTGGAAGCTTCTGTAGCAATAAAACCTTGACTGAGTGCATGGAACTCAACAAAGACCTAAGGTAGTCTGGGATAAGAGATCTGAAAGACTTGAGATCGTTAGATGAAAAAGAGAGGGGTTTTTTTGAGGCGGTGGGAGAGGGGGACTTAATTACCAAAATATAGTGAAAATTGATCTTAGGTTCCTTTCTGTGCTGCCCTGTAATGTGGCAATAAGGAGCCACTCAATGAAATTAAAGGGAAGTACACTAAGAACAAATAGCATATTGAAATATTTAACCTGTGGAACTCACAGTCACATGAGGTCACTGGATGAATATTGGCTGAACTTTGAAAAGGCCTGGATGATTTCACATTTCTGTATTATTAGCTAAGGCAGCTAAGATGATAAGAGAAAAGCACATATGCAGTGGGGTACATCTCTTTTGTGATCACCTGCACATTGGGGTTGTTAACTAACGATTAATTTACTCGACTAGTCGATAGGCACTTCCTCATTCCTCCTTCCTCATTCCTCCCGTTGGGGCTCTTGTACATTTCAAAGGAGGAATGCGGAACTCCCTGTGCAGCCCAGGGCTAGTCCCAGCGGGGGCTTTTGTGCATTTCAAAGCAGACGTGCCAGCATGGTGCCTGGAGTCAGCGGGGGCCTTGGCGTTTCAAAGCAGCAACACATGGAGCTGACCCTGGGCTCCGTACAGTGCTGCCCCTTTGAAACACTGTGGCAGCGTTTCAAAGAGGCAGCGCCGCACAGAGCCTGAATACTGGCTTTGTGTGGCGCTGCCGCTTTGAAGTATCCCCTCCCTCCCATTTTGCTGCCTCTATCTGATAGAGGCAGCAAGGGAAGGGGGGATCGACTAGTCGACTAGTCTAGTTTTTCTCAGGCAGAAACCCTTAAGGGTACTCAAGAGAAATCTAGGGTGTACATCAACACAACTGAAATTTGGAGAAAACTGAATTTTTGTTTTAAGTTTTACAGCGCTTTATTGTTTTTGTACTTTTTACACCCAAAAATGTGTGGCTATGATTACGTTTTTTAAACAAATGTGTTACAATGGTAGAAAAAAATTGTGTGTGTCTGAAAACTATAGGTACTGGGGGTATTTATTTATTTATTGGAAAAGGGGTATTTTCTTTAAAAAAAAAAAGGTTGAGAAACACTGAACTAGTAGACTGACTTATCGATAGTCAACTAGTCCTTAACATCCTTACTGCACAGTGGGTGCTCACACATGCTGCAGCTGTGTTGGCTTTGAAACCATTTGGGAGCAGTTTCAGTGTCTTGAATGGAGACTTAATTCACAAATGGAGGTGTCCTCAGAATAGGTGGACACTTGATTGAAGGTGGCAATTAGCTGGAAGCCGTGATGTGTCAGGAGCATCACACTGAAGCGTGAAGCTTTGAGTTTGTCATTGGTACGATGACCTCCTTAGGGAACTCTAGACTTTGCATATAAGTTTGCACACTTCTTAAAATGCGTCCAATTTTCTTTCATTAAAGATCCTAACTCCTCTTTTGGCTGCAGAGTCTACTAGGTGGAGCTGTCTATCTAGTTCTGCTGGGCCAGCCTCTCTAGACCAGAGGCTCTCAAACTTCATTGCACTTCAGCCCTCCTCTGACACAAAAATTACTGCCCCAGGAGTAGGGACCAAAGCCAGAACCTGCCCAAGTCCCACTGTCCCATTGTGGGGGCCTCACCGCTCTGGGCAGGGAGGGCCAAAGCTGACACTCAAAGGTTTTAGCCCCAGGCTGGCTCCTGCAATCTGAGCCCCACTGCCCAGGGGCTTGGGCTTCACCCTGGGTCCCAGCAAATCTAAACCAGCCCTGGCGAACCCATTCAAAGAGGGGTCCTGACCACCAGGGGGGGCAGGATAAACTGAGAGTTCACTGGGGTTTCTTGTGCTTTTAAGCTCTGTGTCTTCTGTCTTGTTGGTTTTCAAGTCTGCCCTTTCCATGTCGTTTGGGAGCTCTAATGTTCAGACAGGAGCTGCCACAAAGGGGCAGCATAAACTAAAGCACAGGAACCAGCTCTGTGTTACATAAATGGTGGTTGTTGCCTGTGCAGGTGAAGTCTCTGAAAGTCAGGAAAGCTCGTCACGTTTATTAGGTTCTGAAATTTGAAATGGAGCTGGCAGTGTCAGGAAGAAATTTCCCCTTGTGAGACAGGATTGCACACTGAGTTCCAATATGGAGTTTGCACTTTCTTTTGAACGATGAATGAACATTTTTTTGAGACAATATGCCCAACAAGATGGAGCACTGGGCTTTCCCAGGAGGTTGTTTCTGTTGGTATTACAGGGCACTGGACACAATGCACTCCTATCCCCATTTGCACTAATGTGACAGTATTTTTTCTTTAACAAGGATTTTTTTTTAAAAAAAATTCACTCAAATAAAGAGTTTTCCTTTTTGACTTAGTGAGTAAGAGCATGTTGGGAATAATTACCTCGACAGTAGTACCTTGACACCAAGCAGAATTTTTATCAGTTCTTTCCAGCTCAAGAAACTCTCCCCTGGAAATCTTTTCTGTATTCACACTGCTGTGAGTTACTTGGCCATTAGCCCAACAATTTACAATCACAAATCCCTAGCAATAATTGGCCTTTTTGTGCAGTATGGATATACTTTTGGATCACATGCTCTGTGTAATCTGGGGAATTTTCAGTGCATAAACTTTTGGCTGCCAACTACTGTAATCTGGCAGGAGATGAACTACATGTGTTATATAACTTTTTTTTCTCCTAGGTTTGCTATAATACCTTGTAGAATGTTAGTCACCTGTGATCAGTTATAGTCACACAGCCCAGCTGACTTTGGTGGCACTGCATGAAGTTACGTGAGGGCAGAATGCAGCCAACTTAATATACCTATTCCTTGGCCATAGGTGGCACTAATCTGCTCCGAAACATGTAAAACTGGTGCAGCCAATGAGATTAGAGTATTATCCAAAGAATCTTTATTTTTGTTTCTTTTAAATGAGATGCCATTATGTGTCAGGGAATGTGGAATGAACTGTATTAGTCCATTTTCACTATTTGGGGTGGGAGTGTTTTGGTGGTTGCAATTTTGCAGTATGTTTATAGATCAGTTGCATATTTCTGTTGCTATAAAGTGCTTTTGGTTTGGGCAGGGACCGGTCCTTATTTGTGTTGTGTGTAGTGTTTTAGCAATGAATGCTACCAATAACTGTATTTAGTTTTTCTCAGATAGCTCATAAAACACCTTTTAATTTCAGAAAGAGACAAGCACCCACCCTATAATTATACAACAGACTGTCTGGCAGATGGGATGATAAATTTGAGCTCCAAACTATCCTCCATTAATTTCACTTGCTCAACTAGTTCTTGAGTGGGGCGTGTACGGGTGTTCCCAATGCCTACTAAAAATTATGGGAGTGGAAATATCACCTTGAAGCTGCCTTTGTTTGAGTTCAAGCCTACGAGCTTTTCTGTTCACAGGGTGGCATCTAAATTAAAGTGGCTTTTGTTTTGTTTTGTTTTTTTCAGAGATACATTTATTTCAAGGGAGTTACCCCACCATCAAATTGGAGTAACACAGCCATGAATCAGGCTCCTTATGGTTTCTGAGTTGCTCCTTTGCATGTTATGATTTATTGAAAGAGGGTGTCCTAATCCCTTAGAGGCAAATTAAGGTTTCATGGGGCTCTAGGCCAGAGCAAGTGTGTGTGTGGGGGGGTGCCTCCTCATGTGTTTTGCCTGAGGCCCTGTCCCCATTCTACACTTTCTGACTGTGGCTCCACCCACAGCCCACACTGTTCTGCCCCTCCCCCTGTGGTCCTCCCCCTGTTCCGCCCATGGTCCCACCCTATTCTTCCCACCACCATTGTCTGCAGCCCTCTTTTTGCTCCTTTCTCCCTCCCTCCCCCCCCCCATCCAGTGCGGCCTCAAGACCAGAGAAGCTCTGGCATTCCCACCACTAGGTCCCAGGGCCACAGCAGGGAGTGAGAGCTCCTCCAACCTGGCCCCGAAGTTGTGTCAGGAAGCCAGAGATCCTCCAGTCCTGGGCTACAGCTGGGCTTCAGGTGCTGGGGCGTCCCTTGCTGCCTGGTGCTACTTCCCCTCCATGCCTGCTGGAGGTGGGACACCCATGTTTCCAAAGTTCCCTGGTTGTCAGGGCCCCTGGGCAGAGGCTCCATGTCCCCACTGGCTAACATTTGCCATGGTACTCCCTAAATCTGGCAACTCTATGGCAGATCCTTTCAATGGTGTCTGAGGTTCATAGGGTATGTCTACACTATAGGACAAAGTCGAATTAAGAAATGCAACTTCAGCTACATTAATTGCATAGCTGAAGTCAAAGTACCTTAACTCAGCTTTTGGCGCTGTCCACAGAGCAGGAAGTCGAAGGAAGAACACTCTTCCTTCGACTTCCCTCGCTCCTTGTGAAAGCAGGACCGGAGTGCCCCTCTCACTTGGAATTAGCTGTCTTAACTAGACTACTAATTTGAACCCTGGAAGATTGACAGTGGCTGCTTTGATCTTTCTCTGTAGTGTAGACACACCCTTCCGTGTGGAAGAGTTGAATGTTCGGCATCTGAAGTCTATCTGGGAGACAAGGTGGGTGAGATAATATCTTCAGCTTCTGTTAGTGGGTGAGGCAAATTTTCCAGTTGCACAGAGACTGAGATAGCTCCAACCAGGAGATAATATCTTCAGCTTCTGTTAGTGGGCGAGGCACCACACCATCTTGTTCAGAAGCAGGATTACTTACGTTGGCAATGGTGGAGACAAACAGCATGATCACAGTGGCAATGTGGACCACAAAAATACCAGCCAGTAGCACCAACATCTTGGCTTCTCAGTCGTGTGTGGGAGGGTCTCAAATGCAGATGAGTCTGAGGGGAAAAAAGTATTGGAGAAGAAATAAAGGTGGGTGCTGGAATCAAGATTATTGTAACAATAAACCAGTATTTACATGGCTAAGAAAGTAGACAGGTTTGGTCTAAACCCACCTCAGAAACATTGGCCTTGTGTTAAAGAATGTTTCTAAAAATGCTGGTCACAGCACCGCCTGTCCCCCAAGCAAATCAGCCAGAGCAGTCAGAGAGGCTCTGTAGCCAGTCTTGTGGGAAATGCAGAGCAGGGTTTGAAAATACTGTGGGTAATTATTTAAAATAGGCGGAATATATGTCTGACCATTAATAAGGTTAGGTACAGTGCAGGGAAAAGTGATACTCCAGTTTCACATGCCAGGAAATTGATCATCTTGCCCTCTGGAGCCATAGACGTCAGCAAGGATTTCCTTTTCCTCATCCGCCACCCGACAATAGTGTTAGTCGGTTAGCCTGGTGTGTTATGAGTTGGTAAGGGCAGAGATTTGTCTTCCTCTGACATGGCTGTTTTGGGCACTTTTGGAGGGAATATAGGACTATGCAGGCTGGTGGTCTGATCTGTTTTGTTAAACGAGAATACCAGAATTGAGGAACCTCTGGGCTGCTCTAGAGGGAAAGAAAACAGACTGCTGCATTAGTGGCTTATTGGTTGGATCTGATAGGGTGGGAGATGGGATAACTGGAATCAGTGAGCAAGGATGGGTAAATGACGGGGTAAATGGATCAGCATTCATGTCATGCTACCCATCAGTACCCAGCCCAGGTTGGGGAAGTTAATGATTTAACCATGGGAGCAAAAACGGTGATGAATCCTGGTCATGTGCCACCAGAAGCATGGTGTGCATACGCTAAGAAGAGCTGGAGTGCTTTGCTCAGATCCTTTATTCCTAAAATGGAAATGGTTGCCATTTCCTTAACACCCGCCGCCCCTCAAGCATTGGTTTGTAGTAGGGCTGCTCCTGATTTATTTTTAAATTCAAAGAAATCTGCTCCATATAGTACTGTGTGAAGACACCTTTCATGTGTAATGCCTCTGATTCCTTTGCTTTGCTCCCCTATATGCAAGAAAGACTTGACACTCTGTTGTGTTTCTAATGAATATGTGATTTAAAAAGAAGAGAGATTTAAGGATTAGCATTGGTGGGTTCAGACTACTGTAAACCAGGCTACTGTTTTCTTTACTGAAATAATAAAATCAAGGGGCAGAAGCATGATATTGAGGACAGAAGTGGCAAGTGCAGAGCATTAGAATTTCAGTCTAACCTACAGACAAGGCATTTATCAGTATTTTGTAATTAGAGCCACAGAAATAAGACACAGCAAAAATGTGTTGGGCCCTTTCGTTTATCTTCTTTGGCCAGTAGAACTGCTTCTGAAAATGTGGAGGTTAAATAAATGGACTAAATTATTGTCCTTCCTTCCCTCCCTCTTGTTGCTAGGTGAGAGCAGTGTCAAACACCTGCTTTGTATTTGCAGTTACTCTGGGCCAGGTGAGTCAGGTGAAGAATTCAGCTGTAGCTTTCTGGAGGGGAGCAGTGACAAGGCAATATAGAACACGGCAGCTATCTTTTTAAATAACGTTTGTCATACAGAAAGGCTTTTTAGAGTTACACAAATGGCATGCATTACTCATATACCCCACCTTCCTCACGTCTTCCCCTTTGCCTAATTGCAGCCTTGTGCGTGAGAGAGCTGCTTTTAAAGATTACGAGGTGGCATTTGCACTGTGATGATACAATTTTCCCACTCTCTCGGGGCTGCCAAACTTTCCGACTTGTTTGCCATTTGTCCAAAATCGGCATTAGCTCATAACCAACAGGAAATCCCAGAATTACAGAAACTGGAGAAAAAAGAACATGGACTCCCAAGTGCTATTGGCTGTGAGAAATCATAGCTTCTTTGCTTCCTGATTTCAGATATCTGTGTATGGTGATCCAAACTGCATTCGTTTTCTTTACTGCCATAACACATAGGAAGTCATTACTGCAGGTCTTCACATTTTTTTCAACTAGAAAATATTTGTCATTGGAAAATATAATTTAAAATATTTTTGGGGAAAGTTTTTTTTTCAAGTTTATATTTGTTAAAGGACATAATTTTTTAAAATGGAATTTTTTAAAAAAATGTCACCTGACCAAGCTAAGTAGAATATTCATTTTAAAAGTTTCTTTTGTAAAATCTTGAAAATAACTGAACGATACCTTTCCATTATAAGAATGTTCCACCCAGAATGAAAAATACCCTCCAACCAAACCCAATCCACCCTACCCCAAAAGAATATCACTGATGAAACAGTCAAACAAAAATTGATTTTGGAATTTTCATTTTTTGTTTGTTGTGAATTTCTTTTTTCTGACCAGTTCGACTCACATCTAGTGTGCAGCTCATGCTTAGTCCTGGCTAGGTCACTTTTAGCATTCCTGTTTCCCAGGTAGGATGGCTACTATCACTAGACATGCTACCTAATGTGAGCTCCTCGGGGAATGTCAATTTGTATTTAGCTTTCAGTCTTTTATGACCATCCTCTCTATTCATTGTACCTGTGGCCCATTCAATATACAGTGAGCTCTGGGGATAGGGGAGAGCAAAATAAAAGGTCTTTTCCATTTCTGAGTGTGCTACCTGTGCTTTTCTTCTCAAGGCACCATAGAAAGTGCCTGGGTTGTTCTGCAGGAGTGAGGCATATGTCTCATCAGCAGGGCGGGGTCACATTGCTAGAGCAACACATGTATAGCCTTCTCCCTTCCCCCCCATCTGGTTGCAACTGGAATTGGAGTTTATCCGGCTTTTATTGCGCTGTGGTTCAGTTCCAATGTTCTTGGAGTTGCCAGTTTTTCCATTGGCTCATCCGAAAGAATTCAAAACTTCAATGACTTAAGCCTACAATTGCTCTGTATAGAGCCTGTCCTTTTCAGTGCTGCCTCTTGAGATCTGGGGTGGTGTCATACCCAGGAACTAGAGCCTGTGAAATTCTCAGGAAACCCTCCAGCAGCCCCCTGCACACCTTTTATGATGGGAAATCAGGGCCTGGGCCTAGGTGAATGGGTAGAATGGTTACAGGAAGACGCCAGACTTGAAAAGAGAAGACATGAACCCACCTGCCTGGCTTTCGCATTGGATGGCTTGAGACAGAAGAGAGACTTAGTACTGGCAATGGTAGATGAAGAGCTTCCCCCACGCCACCTCTCCAAGATCATGGATGGAGCGAATGCTATCAATGCATAGCATTGAACAACAGCTGATATTCCCATAGCACTTTTTGTCATGACAGATCCTAAATTGCTTTTACAAACTCTGTCCATATGGGGATCATTTCACCAGCTGCTGCAAGATAGCTTCTTCTAGGGAGAACATAGGGGTTGGTTCATAGCACACAGCACTGCTACACAACAGTTTAAGGCGGGAAGACAATCATATTAGATTTTTTTTACCTTAAAAAAAAAAGTCACTTGCAGAGAGCATACACTTCTTTTGGGGGAAAAGTCATTGAATTCAAACCCAACTTTCTGGCAAAATAGCTTGGATGGAAAATTTTCAACCAGCACTAGTTGCCGCCTTGGATTGAGTGCACACCAAAGGGACAGATACCAGAGACAATGGCACTAATCAAGGCCAGGAGTGTTTGGTAACGAAGGTGAAGATCTGAAGACTACATCAGAAAACTGGATGGGTCACCCTACAGCTGGTACAAAGGAATAGCTCTGGCACCAGCACATCACTTAAAGCAGATCTGCATTGGGCAGTGCTAGTTAGGGTATCACCACAATCAGGGGGCTCAAGATAGAGCATCACCAATTGCAGATTCGTGGAGCTGCTGCACAGGCCTGCTGTAGGTTTACCTAATATCTCAGCACCCCAACAGGCTGTTTTGTCAGGCCCTGTGATGCTCACATGCTGTCTCACAATGGATAGACTCAGTTGTCATGGCCCAAAGATGCAAAGGTCATCCTGCCTCGGTGAGATGATTATTTGGTCCCACTGAAAGAGTTGGTGGCTCCACAGATTACAAGGTTATACGTCATAAAGGATCCATTTTTCTCTCTGGTCTGCTTCTTGTTTCAGATCTAAGTAAAGCCAGAGGCCCTGTTGACACAGGGCTTATACATCATTATGTGAAGGTAGTGTAATGCTGACAGACCCTCACTCGTCTGTGTGAACTTTGGACCTCTGGAGTTTAGAACATGAGCTTTTACTGCAGGAGCTAAAAGCCAGCTTTCTATTAGCTAAGGCTATAGTGGTCTTGGAGCCACTAGATGGGACAGTGCACCACACCCTGAAGATGTGTGGGTTACAGTAGCATGCACAAATCAGACTTTGAGATTCTGCTTGTGATTCACCAGCTTAGCTCAGTTTGCAAATCAGGTGCCTTTTATTAAGATGTGGGTCCATTGCCAGATTTCCCAGCAGAGAGATCTCTTGGGAGTCTGTCTGTACATGTGCTTTTGGAGACTTTGGTTTAAGGGGTGTGATTAAAAAGCCTGATTAGTTGCATAGGTTGGCCTTACAATAACTAGCAGAGATATGCCAGCCACTTCCATTCATCTGCTACAGCATGGCCCAAGGGATTCTAACTGAGAGTGATGGGATGAAATTAAGCAAACAAATATTTTGGCTGGGGATGAGGAAATATTTCCTAGTAGTGAGGTCTGTTAGGCTGTGGAGTATTCTCACAAGGGAAGTGGTGGAAGCCCCATTGCTTGAGTCACTTATAACTGGACTGGACAAAGCCTTGGAGAATGACTCCAGGGAACAGTCCTAGACTAGGAAGAATAACAAAGATGATCTGACAGGGTTTTTCCTCTGTGTGATGTTTATGATTCATCTGAGAGTGGGTGAACCTCTCCCTGCTGAAGGCAAGTGCTGAGAAATTGGCATTTTCTCAGGAAAAAAAGCCCTGGAGCGTCAACCCATGTGACACCCTCAATAAAAACTCCAAAGCTCTCTCGGAAGGAGGGAGGGGAATAGAGAGAGAAAGCTGCCTGAGGTCTAGCAGGCTTCCAACA